GGAAGTCAAGCTTTTTATCAGACTTGCTGTCCATTGGCCCCCACTTTCTGCAATAGCTGGTGCCTCCACTTTCTAAGCATTGTGGAGGTTTTTTATGGTGGGCTGGCTTGTTTCTCCCTGGTAACCCCCTCTGGAGACACCTGGATTTGAAATTACTCCACTCTGCAAAAATCACTGGCCCTCTTCCATCAGTTCACCACATTCATGTTCCATCGTTCAAAGTTAGAGGGATCTCCTAAGTCCATTCAGTATAGGGTTGGCAAGTTTATTTCTTGTTCTTATTACTTGAGCTTTACCTAAAGAAAGAAAAGGGGACAGAAATATTACTATTCTTTCATCTCAAAATCAGAAGTTTTTGTCTCTCCACCTTCTCACCCCCATTCGGTTTTAGAAGAGGTATGGCTGCTATTGATTAAGCAATGGGAGAAATAGATGACTTGTAAGGTGAAAGCAACTGGACAAATTCACAAAGTAGCTGTTTTCATAAAGTGCAGCAAGAACACTATGTTGACCGCAGGCTAGGCCCCTTCTTTATGTTAATGACCTAGAAGGCAAGTATTGCTTTATGCTGAGGAGACAAACTCACAAAATTTAAAAAATAAGCCTGAGGTCATCTACCTACCTTGTAAAGGGTCAAAGCCAAAATCATAAACCAGATTTGCTGGACCCCAAACCAGGACTGCATCTACTACACAAAACTTGATACCAAAATCTATAGAATACTCTTTATAAATTCCACTGCTCTTAACAGGTGTGGTGGTGAGAGAATTGCAGTTCTCTCTATGTAGTGCCTAGAGTACCAGCTACTCAGGAGGTAGAAGTAGGGGCATCGTGGTCTGAGACTGGCCCCAGAAAAGTGAGTGTGAAACCCTATTTAAAAAACCCAAAGTGCAATAGACTCATGCAAAACAAGTATGTATGTTTGCCTAACAAGTATGAGCCCAAGAGTTCAAGTCCCAGTACTGCCAAAAAAGAAAATAAAGACAATCCAATGCAATATATTAAAATTTTTTTTAAAGAAATCTAACAAGGAAAGCAAAAGAAGAGAGAGATTGTCCAAGAGAATTGTATTCGTCACCCGGTTTATGGAATTGTAACACCTTTGTGCAACACCTTAATAATAACAAAAATAGATTGAACAAAAGAAATCTGTATATGAGGTGCGTGAGAAGGCAGTTATGCAAGGGAAAGCCCAAGTTGATCTTAGGATCAACGTAAGATTAACCCTTCAATTGCAGTGAGAGTTTAATTTATCTGCTGACTCGCTTGTTCCAACAAGATCCCTTCTAGTCCTCTAATTCTGTAGGCAGAATTCTAAAAATTCTTTTCCTAGCGCAACACTAACCTTCAGCACACAGCCTGATGATGTGATCTCTGTTATCTTCATCTCCTTGATTTAGCATTTCCTCCTCAAACCTCTTACACACACCTGGCTGCGGGGATGTATTCCTGGCTGCATCATTTGTGTTCATAATTTTTTACATGCGATAATTCTCAGGAGCACCCAGGAGAAATGCCTTAATCAAGAAAGCCTGTACCAGACATTGCTTTATCTATGTCACAATTATCTGACGATCATTTCCCTTTGCCAAAAACTGAGAAGAGTATTTGCATTTGGAAAATCAAGTTACAACACCTGAAGCACATTAAGAACCACCGCCTCCCTGGAGTCTCCATGAGATTTCCTCATCTTAGTTTGTTTTTCTTAAAGATACAAACTGCACAGCAGTGTTTGTAGTTGGGGCTGATGAGCACCCTGGCTTGCATGATAAGATTTCACTTTGGCCAACTCAACTTTTTTATACATAAATTAAGTTGTAAGTAAGCTTTGAAATAGTATAACATACATCATTGGGGTTTATTTAGAGACATTGGAATATTTCAGTATTTGTTTTAAATGCAAATTTAGGATCAGTGAGTGTTTTTACATACAAAATTATGACATGTTGGCCAGGAATTCTGGGGTCGGCAGGAGGATGCTTGGGAATCTTAATTACCCTTGCCCTGGAGTAGGGCTGGGCTCAGTGACGTAATTAAGGACAAACCCCAAGAGAAAGTTAATTCTGAGCGGAGGGGATGTTTAAATAACGCATATCCATCAGCAAACTTGGATCTTCTCCTGCTAGAGCTCTATAACCTTTGAAAGCATTTCAGATTGCTGTATTATCACTTAGTTCCTTCAAAAAGCATGTAACAGAGCCAGGCATGGTGATACTTTCCAGCATGGGCTACTTAATCAGACCTATCTCAAAAAAAAATTGCTTCTGGCTCAATTGTGTGGACAAGCTCAAGTCCTTAAAATGCTCAAAAAGGCGACAGTGTCCAAGTTTAATGTTTCACGTTCAGAGAGCTTGCAAGTATCCTCTCCATTTTGAGAACTTCAAAATGACTTTCGGCATCTAGGAGATTATACCTTAGCCACAGTATTTAAACAGAAACAAATAGAACCACATGTTTCAATGCAGTGCTAGACGTCAGATTTGACTATCAAAACCACATGTTTTCCTTCCCCCAGTGCAGCTTTCTTACAGACCACTTGACTTCCAATCCATGTAGTGTACCATTCCCTCTCTTACAGCTTTCTGCAGGATGGCTGCAAGTAATACAGTAGATAATAACTGTAAATTTTTAATGAATACTTCTTTTAAAGTTGGTTTTCTGTTTGCTTGTTTGGAGCTTGGACTCTTTTAAAAACCATGAGAAACCAGACTTGAGTTTTAAGTTCCATACAATGTAAAGGTAGATCCTTTACATCTGGTCTAAATCATCATCACCATCGTCATCATCATCATCATCATCATCATCATCATCATCAATCTATTCTCCATGGGTTTCCCTTGGCATGTAAGATTATATTATATTTTGGATATGGTTGAAAATTATTTCAAATGAGAATGGTCTGAACATTGCTATATGCCATTAATATTGAAAAATTGGATGAATGTGTGGATGGATAGAAGGAAATGTATAGTAGGAGGAAGGGAACCTAGGCTATTTTGCTCAAATCTGTTTTTAGAGCATCCTAAATGCACTCTTTCCATCATGAAAACCCACTGCTATGCTTTGTGTGTGTGTGTGTGTGTGTGTGTGTGTGTGTGTGTGTGTGCGCGCGCGCACCAGTCCTTGGTGCTTGAATTCATGGCCTAGGCACTGTCCCTGAGCTTTTTTGCTGTCTCTCAAGGCTAGCATTCTAAATACTTGAGCCATAGCTCTACTTCTGGTCTTTTGGTGGTTAATTGTCTTATGGACTTCCCTGCCTGCACTGGCTTAGACCCATGTTCCTCAGATCTCATCTTCCTAAGTAGGTAGATAATAGGCATGAACCACCTGTGCCCAGCCCTATTTGTGCTTTCGAAGTTTCCTGCCACAGCTGCGCTGCATGTGGGAAATGATACCGGGAGAGGAATGAAATGACATTGCTGTACTGATTGGATTCAGACTTCTCGATTATGTAAAATTCAAAAGTCCTTATTTAATGTCTTATGTTCTAGAGATTACTTAGGTTTCTCTTCTAAATGAGAATTCACCCAGGAGACAAGCCAGAGAATGTAATTTGACCAATACTGTAATTAAAGGATAACAATTTGCAAACATAGAAAGTAATTGTTGCCTTATTTGTATTGAAATGTGGTAGAAAAATGAACATAAATCTGTCAAAACAATTTTGACCTAGGTGATGGCCCTGACCATTTCCCTCAGGTGGGAGCTTGCTTTCAGACTTATTTTACACATCAGTAGTATGTGTCACTTTCACTGAGCCATGGGAATGATCTGTCCCCACAGGAGGCTGTGAGTGATGTACAGTCCCCAGCTGGTAGGTTGTATTTAATTTAGCCACCTAAAAATCAGTGTTCATAGACATCCCAACAGAAATAACCTTGAGTATGATTTTTATAGTTGCAAAGAAATAGTTTTTAAAATGATAGTTTAGCTATCATTTTAAAATCATGGCTTAGCCAATTGGAGATTTCTTGGGTGATAATCTTGAGATTGGTGAATCCTGGTTAAGTCTTTGTTTCTGATGCATGGCATGGGAAGTGAGCTCATGTGGGCTCCACCTAGGAGAGCACAGAAGGGAATGTACTGGAAGCAAGAGATGGAAAAGCAGAGAGGACATTTCCACTTCAGGGAAAATGTCTGTACTATACCATTGCACACAAAATATAGAAGTGTAGCTCCATTTTCCCCTAGCATGATCACATTTATTGCATCTACACACATCATACATCTTGCAAAAAGCACTTGTGTACAGTTTTGAAAGGCAAATTTTAAGTCTTTTGTGCCTATCCAGATATTTACCATTCATGGTACTCTTTACTTCTTCCTATACATTGTAGTTTTCATGTTTTAATTCGTTTTTAGCCTCAAGAAATGTCTTTATTCTATCCTCATTCTTGAGGATGGAATAGAGAACTGGATTTATTTATTAGTTTGCAGCACTGTGAGAATGCAAATGTGTTTCTTCTAGCAGTCAATTTACTTGGATAGACTAGAGGTAGAAACTGGTTTATGGTCGGTGGCGGATCAGGTTTTCAGCCAGCCCCTTTGATGGTTCTTTAGGTGAGTTTTAAATGGTTGGTTTCCTATATTATGAGGCAGATCCTGGTATTAGAAGATAGGGATATGTAATTTTGATAAAACTTTTCATTTTACTCTTACACTATGTTAACAGAATTTCACTTCTATGCCTCAGGTTTTTCTAGGCACAAGGTCATTTCATTCTCTGTTAGAAACGGAGCTGGGCATGCTGGGCATGTCGTACCTCTCCGAGGATGGGGGGCTCACCCTCAGAGGCTGCCCTCAGGCAAAAGTTCCAGGCCCTGTCTGAAAAATGAACTACAGCAAAAAAAAAAAGGTCTGGGATGTGATTCAAATGGTAGAATACTTGCCTAATAAGCATGAGGTCTTCAAATTCAAACCATAGTACTGACAAATAGATGGATAGACAACACTGTAACAATTTTATTTTTAATCTATCATCATGTTTGTTTGTCTCTTAGGAAAAAATGCTGCAAAGGGTATAAATTTGTTCTTGGACAGTGTATCCCAGAAGGTATGTACTATAAAAGATCTTCCTTTATTCGCAATGAATCATTAGAAGTCTATAAAATTCAAGTAGACATGGATAAATGTTGTCTATGTTAGGTATCTGTGTGTCTGTGTATGATTCTTGTGGACATTATATTTTTCACATGCTGATTCATTAGATATAATACATTCTGTCAAAACCATTACATGTTTCATTCACACACATCAAACCTTTTTTACACTTCTGCTTTATGCTTAATAAGCTTTCAATTACCTAGTTAGCATTTCATGGCTCAATTGTAGCCCAGCCCTCTCCTGGCTGATGGCTGGACCTGTCTGCTGTGTGTTGAACTTTTTGTCCCTTTTCATGACCATCATCAAATATTGCTTAGCATAGTATTGGTGTATAAAAATGGACCCATCTCCCGGGGAACACTTCAGAGTGAGGGATAGGAACGGGGTCCTCGGGAACCAGAAGAGCTTAGATTGTATTATGCTTCCATATTCTACTTAATAGGACCTCAGGAAAGTTCCTTGCTGATCCTTAATTTTCACAGGCAGATGTTGATACTGAGGTCATAGGGATCTTTAAAGCAATTTTGCCATGACTGAGTGAGGTGGCTCATGCCTATAATTCCAGCTACTGGAGAGGCAAAGTGTGGCTGCTCAAACCTGAGGGCCAAACCTGTCCCATCACCTGATTCAGGAAATGAAGTCTGAATAAACACAGTCGTGCTCATAGGCTTAGTATTGTTTCTGCCTTCTTTTTCATGACAATAATGGAATTGAGTAGTTGCAACAGAGGATTTGGCTCATTTCTGGAAAAAGATTTCTAATCTCTGCTGTTTGGCCAGGTGACAGGATGATCTGATTTGTCCAGCTAAACAGTTAAGAATTGATGAACGTGGGGCGCAGAGACCTCTAATGGTTTTCCTGGCTTATAACTAGGAAAAATATATTTGCATTTATATACATATAGAAAATCTCCAGTGTAGTTATAACCTATGATAGTTCTAGTTCTACCTTTGTGAGAAAATTTATACTATGATCTGTAATGGCTAGACAAATTTACATTCCCACCAAAAGTGTATAAGAGTTCCTATTTTGTTTGCTGCATCAGTATTCACAAGAGGCAAGTTGTAGAATCATCCAAGATGCCCATAAAACAGGTGCTGGAGGGGATGTGGACAGAAGGGAACCTTACTGCATTGTTGGTGGGAGTGTAAACTTGTTCAACCACTTTGGAAAGCAGTATGGAGGTTCCTCAAAACAATCCCACTTTTGGGCATTTACCCAAATGTTCACAAACAAGGCCACACTAAAGCTACCAGCACGACTATGTTTATTGCAACATTATTTACTATAGCTAAGATATGGAACCAACCCAGATGCCCCTCAGTAGATGAATGGATCAAGAAAATGTGGTATATATACACAATGGAATTCTATGCCTCCATCAGAAAGAATGACATTGCCCCATTTGTTAGGAAATGGAAAGACTTGGAAAAAATTATATGAAGTGAAGTAAGCCAGGCCCAAAGAAACATAGGTCCCATGGTTTCCCTTATTTGCAATATCTAGTATATGTCTGAGTCAAGCAGAAAAGGTCAGATAAGGTGATGTTAGGGAAATGAACCCTAATATATGTATTCAAATGTTTTTTTTTCTTTCATGCGATTGTTTCTAACGCATTTATAAGATTATTTCTTTGTTGCTTTGTATGTCCCTCCCCCACAGTCTAACCCCTGCTTTCACTGTATTTGATGTTGGTATAATTTGTGGAGGGGAAGGGGAAAAACAAATCGTTTAAATAGGGATACAGGTGGACCCATTGCAACAATAAGATGTACAAGTCGTTACGTCGAAAACGAACTTTACAACTTTGGGGGGGGGAGGGGAGCGGGAAGGATTGGGTGGAGGGACGGGGGGAGGTTGGGAAGGGATGGGAAGGGGAAACAAAGGAGGAGGCTACAATGCTTGATAAGAAATGTACTCATTGTCTTGCCCATGTAATTGTAACCCCTCTGTACAGTATTTTCACAATAAAAAGAAAAAAGATAAAAAGAAAATGAGTGCCAGGGACAAAAGGAAAAGAGGGTGGAGAGAGGGTAACAGGGTGCAGATATGATGAAAGAATGTTATATGCGTGCATGTGAAGCTCCTAATTGTGTACAGTCAGTGTGTGCTAACAGAGGAGTTGAGCACAAGCTGTGTGGAGAGGCTTGCTCTCGTTAGCCAGGGGACTTAGTCTCTGACAGGTAACCAGCCAATCATGAGCACCTATAGCAGAAGAAGCAGAGCAGAGGAAGCTTTTCCCAGGCTTCGGGTACTGTGTTTAATGCACTTTCCAATTTTATCTTCATTTTAAAAACAGCACAAAGACACTATTGTTGTTCTTTTTTTGTTGTTCGTGGGGCTTGAACTCTGGACCTGGGTGCCATCCCTCAGCTCTTCAGCTCAAGGCTAGCACTCTACCACTTAAGCCACAGCACCACTTCCAGTTTTCTAGTGGCTTATTGGAGATAAGAGTCTCACAGACTTTCCTGCCTGGGCTGGCTTTGAACTGTGATCCTCAGATCTCAGCCTCCTGAGTAGCTAGGATTACAGGCATGAGCCACTGGTGCCAGGCTTGTTGTTGTGAGGAAATCAAGGCTCAATGAACCTGAGATCAGCAAGGCATGATGATATGCTCTATAATCTTAGCACTTGAGAGGTTGAGGTGGGAGGCTTTGAGCCCAGGGTTTGAACCCAGACTGGGCTGCATAGTGAGACCAGAGGAGGAGGAAGAGGAGGAAGGGGAGAGGAGGGGGGGAAGAGAAGGAGGAGGAGGATCTGAGATCACAGAGAGAATGGCCAAGTTGGAAGGTGGGCACTCATATGTGAGCTAGAGAGCTAGCGTGTTGACAGGATTGAGTAGACCGTGTTGAGGAGGTAGGGCAGGCTTGGCACTGACAGTGGCCCTTGAAAACTGGCTAGGATGCCACCAGTAACGAGGTGCTAAGAGTAAGGGTAGAGGAGCTGGCTGGGCATGGCTGGAGGTGAAAGCGTGGATAGAAGGAAGAATCAGTAGCGAGAAGGCACGGCTGTGACAAAGGACAAAGGAAAAGACAACTGGGGCTTGTGAAGTTGAAGGAACACATAGTGGGATCCTCTAATTGGGAAAATCTCAAGAGCGAATACCAGACATCAAATGCAGAAGTAACCAGTGAATATTTAAGACTTATTTAGTTTAGGTTGAGGCTCTTTCTTTTCTTACCCCTCACCCTCTTTCACCTTCTCTTCTTCTTCTTCTTCATCCTCTTCCTCTTCCTCCTCTTTCTCCTTCTCCTCCTTATTTTTTCTCTCATTCTGTCTCTCTCTCTGCTTTTTGTGAGACAATGTCACGCTATACAGTCCAAGCTGGCCTTAATCTCTAGATCCTTCCGGCTTTACCTCCTATGAGTCAAAAATTACCGGCCTGTGCTACCACACTATGGTTCATTAACTCTTTTCCAAAATGCTTGAGATCAGAAATGATTCCTATTTCAGAATTTTGGGGATTTGTGAATGTTTTCATAGATTTATGAGTTGAGCATCTATAATCTAGGAATCTGAAATGCTCCAAAATCTAAAACATCACTGCAGAGCACATTTACTAGGGTGCACTGCTGGCTAGACACCGGCAACTGAAAAGGCAAAGAAGCAACAGCACCCCAGAGATAAGTGCGCCCCGCGCTGCCACCCCGAGGCTAGGCATGCAGAGATGGTGGCCGATTAGGCTCAGAGGAGGTGCCGTTGGATGCGTCCCAGACCTTCCGGGCATGAGTGGCAGGTGCTCTTTCTCTCAATTAGGGGTCTGGGAGCCATATCTTCACGAGGTTGTACCCAGTGGCTGGTGCTAGTAGCTCAGAAATGGGATGTAATAGGCCAGTTCTACAATTGTAGGGAAAGCTACAAATTGACATCTGCTGCTTCTACCAAATAAGCTACTGGAGGGCTAGAAAGGGGGAAGAATGAAATGAGGCTTGGGGAGCACCAGCAGTAAGCAGAGAGGTCCATATTCCTCTTTCCTCTTCGTGTGTATGTGTGTGTGTCTGTCTGTCTGTCTGTCTGTCTGTCTTCCTGTCTCTCTGTCTTTCTGGCTGTTTCCCTTCTGCAACCCAATATCATTTATCCGCAATGATAAATAGCTGTCAAGGAAGAAATGTGGTTTTTAAAGTCTCAAGTCACAAAGTCTCTGAGGGAAGGGATGGAGAACAGGTTTGAAATCAATAGAAAGGCTCAATCTGACACTGCCAACGTACCTGAGACTCTCCTAATGCCTCAGGTCATCAGACTTCAGGGCTCAGCAGAAAACTTTCATATCATCACTATAATGTGAACACTGGAGAGTTATCCAACAAAATGTCAATGAAACTTTTGGCCATGAAAGGCCTGGGAAGCGGAGAACTCCAGGGTTGGGTGGGCAGCAGTGGGTAAGGCAATGGAAAAGCTAAATGTGAGCTGGGCACTGGTGATTCACACCTGTGATCCTAGCTAGGCAGGAGGTTGAGATCAGTGGGGATAGCAGTTTGAAGCCAACCCTGGCAGGAAAGTCTGTGAGACTCTTATGTGAGAAAAAAAAAAAAAGCTGGAAATGGAGCTGTGACTCAAGTGGTACTGTGCTAGCCTTGAATAAAAAGCTTAGGGACAACTCCCAGGCCCTGAGTTCAAACCCAAGACTGGAAAGAAAGAGAAAGAAAGAAAGAGAGAGAGAGAAAGAGAAAGAAAGAGGGAGGAGGGAAGGAGGGAGGTAGGGAAGGAGATAGGGAGGGAAGGAGAGAGGAAGGAAGGAAGGAAGGAAGGAAGGAAGGAAGGAAGGAAGGAAGGAAGGAAGGAAAGCAAAAGCTAAATGTGCCTCTTCCAAGGCTGGCAATCAACAGGGAGAGCTTAAAAGAAAGAAGCAATGCGTTCTAGCCATCTGGAGATGTGGCGTGAAAACACCCACAGATGTGGAGGCAGACAGGGATTGCTGCACAGGGGTTGTGGGAAGCTCAAAGCAAGCCTCAACGCAGTTCTTTAGACAGCCTCTCTGCCTCTTTCCTCTCCGCCTTTCTCTTCCTCCTCTGGCAGTAGCAGCCATGCGTGGACAGCTCGTCTCCAGTCACGCTAAGACCTTCTGCATTCCCAACTTGGGTTGCCTAGAGGTGGAGTTTCTTTGGGGAAAACCCATTCAGCCTGAGGCAGCTTGTGTCAGGGTTGGTGAGAACCCATGCAGGAAAGCAGGCCGGGAGTCACGCCTGTGGGAAGGCGCCCACAACCAGGACAGCTCTCCAGAGTTACGTGGGAGTGATGGATCCTTGTTAAGCCAACCCTTCCTGCTCACCTTCACGGCAGATCCAGGCTCCCCCTGTGGCCAGGAAGAGTGTCCCCGTCAGCACCCGGGGAGATAGTGCTGTGATTGATGATGCGCTGGGTCTGCTCTGGGAGCAGATGCTGAGCCTGAGCTCCTGACTTAGAGCCAACGTCCCGACAGAAACTCATGAAATAGCAGCTCATAAAAACCCAGAGGAGCAGATGCTCTAATTCTTTATGAGTAGACGAGCATGCACCCCAATTTGCACAAGCTTTGCAAGCACATACCTTCGGCACTCGCTTATACAAGCACTGCCCCTGAGAACTCTCTCACGTTTTATTTTTTTAGTACTGAAGGGGCCGTGCACTCACCGAGGAGACTGCCTACCACTTGAGCTATGTTCTCAGTTCTTTTTGTCTTTAGTTTGTTTCTCAGATAGTCTCACACTAACTTTGCCTAGACTAGACTCAATCCACAGTGCTCCTACCACCTATCCAAGTCTCTCAGAGAGTAGACCTGCACTACCAAACCTGGCCTACCTGCATTTCTTACCCTTCCCCTCTTCCCCTCTTCTCTTCTTCTTGCTCGACTTCTGGCCCTTCCTCTCACAAATACCCATCACCAGGGCTGGCCTTTCTGTAGATTCTTCTGGAAGGAATTCTCTGTCTCTGTGTCCATTTGGGGGGGAGGGTGGGGAGACAAAATAAGCCCCAAGTGAATTCGGGAGAGCTGGTCACCAGCTAAAGCACCAGCTCTCTGAATAACGATGAAGACCCAAGGACCCAGAAGAGAAAGCACAGTGACGTTTGCTTTTAACCATTGCTTTTAACTACATACTAAGTTATCCACTACAGAACTCTCTATTGCAGAGAAATAGATGGACCTGGAAAAAAAAATTATGTGAAGTGAGTCAGGCCCAGAGAGATGAAGGATGCATGTCTTCTCTCATATGTGGAAATGAAATCTAATTTATAAATCTATAGGTACACATATTCAGGGTCCTATGCAGCTATCCACAAATGTGTTAACCAAGCCTGGTCTATGCAGGGGAGAATTCCACTGGTGTAGCTCCTTTGAACAATTAATCTGTAATATAACAAAAACCAGGAAACCGGAACTCAAGGTGGGGGCAAAGTGAGACCAAGGGGAAGAAGAGGGGAATGCAGTCCTAATCATCAATGAGTATTTTATTAAATTAAGGAAACTGGGGAGGTGGGTGGGTTTGGAAGAGATGGACGAGAATGATGGAAGGGGATCATGGCTCAAGATGCATTATACTCACAGGTTGAATGGAAATCCCTTTGCATAATTACTTCAAGATAATAATAATACAACTCCTAGAAGAGCAAAGAGTGTTGCTCCCCACCAACTCCCGTGGCTCACGTGATTGTACTTTTCTTTTTCAGATTATGATGTCTGTGCCCAAGCCCCCTGTGAGCAGCAGTGCACAGACAACTTCGGCCGAGTGCTGTGTACTTGTTACCCGGGATACCGATATGACCGGGAGAGACACCGGAAGCGAGAGAAGCCATATTGCCTGGGTATGTTAGGATGCATGTTGGATGCCAGCACTTAGGGACATGCCTCGTGAGATGGTGTCATCTCTGTGGCATGTTTCTTCATGAGCAGGACTGGCTCAGAAATGTCACTCTGATCTTTGATTCCTCTCCCTTAAATCCTCGGGAGGATGGAGTTGGATTTGGACTTACTCTCCATATTGTTCACTACCTTTCATCCTGATGATCAAAAAAACCCAACTATGTCCCCGGGCTCCCTAAGGGAGCTGATAATATCCTAACTCAACGTGAGACAAGAGCTGGAGAAAAGAAACAATGTCAAGTGTTACTAGGATAGTATGAAGCAGAACATAAGTGATCGGGCATAAAAACAACAAAATAAGACGTGTTCTTAGAAGACAGCTAGGAAAAGGAACGTGTCCGTGTAGCAGGCAGGTTGTAAGAAAGTCGGAGGGAAGTGGAGTCAGCCACCTGGGCTGCAGCTGAGCAAACAGCCCAGCTACCCCCAATAGCCCCCCACTCCGTCCTTTCTTTCCCAGCCACGAGGTTTTCCCACCATGCATTCTGTGAGTTCCGGAGGCAAGTGGAGGACCCGTTGTCCCCCCAGAGCCCCGTGTTTCAGAGTGCGCTCACTCCATAGGCAACCTGTCCTTGTTTGCTTTCAAAGTAAATAGGTCCTTGGCCTTCCCTCCAGACCTGGTGAGTCACAACTCCAAGGGCTGAGTCTGGAAATGAGCATTTGTTTTCACCAATGAAGTTGTCCAGTGAAGTTGCAGAATCAGGTGGAGGATGAACTGGGACTGGCAGGGGCTCCTGAGTGGGCCACAACCAGTTGTTAGACGTCCTTCTCCTCTCCCCAGCAGGGGCTCTCGGGAGACCCCATTAGAAGCCTGTTTTCCCCCTGCCACGTCTGGGCATGGTGCTCTCACTAACCAAGGAAGGAGAATGGAGTGGACGCACTCTTCCCTCTGACGGCCCAAGCCACTCCAGATGGCCTTGTCCTAGGCACCAGGGCTTGAATTTCAGTTTCTGGTATCTACCTTACCCTGATCTTTGCATCTAGGGGATCTGTACACCTTACATTGAACTAAAAATGATGTCCTCTCCTTCTGGAGGAAAAGGCATTCAGCCTGAGAATCCTCCTGAGGGAGGGTCCTGCTAGACTCAGCCGGCTACAGAGGACGTAGCCTGTGCTGTCGGGGAAGGGAGCCCACGTGACATGAGCATGCTCCTCCCCTTGGCACACACATGGCCTACCAGAGCTGAGTCCTCTGCAGCTCGTCCAGAGAGCAGCTACCATGCCATTGTGCTCCTAACGTTCAGGGCGGGGCGCTATCTGCCCACCACATGTGCATGGCCTGCGGCTGGGTCCTGCTTCCCACCCACTGCTGCCCTGTGTCTCCAGCCGGTGAGCAGGAAACGGAATCAGGCCTCCCCGCTCCCCATGGTGGGAAAGGCTCTTGTTTTCACCCCATGCCACCGCAGGGAGCAAGCCCATGAGCCACACAGTTGGCACAGACTCTTGTTTGATGCTATCATGACTCATTTCCACAGCTCACCCAGGGGTCTGCTTGGGTCACTATGAGGCAGAAGCTTCCTGGGGAAACTCAGACTCACTGTGGCTCTTTTCTTTCATCAGAAGTAGCGAGGATGTCTCCTAAGTGGGAAGAGGCCATTCCTGAACGACCTCTGGGTCACCATCATGCTTTCCAGAACCCCCAACTATGAAGGGGAACTTAAGCCTCAGGCCACTAAGCTACTTGTGAGAGGTTACTTATCTACTATCCGCTTCTTGAAGGGTGTTGCCCTTGGCTTTCTCACATCCCCTTCTGAGGAGCGTTTAGGGCAGGCTTCATGGTCCTTGTGTTCCAGGTGGGTCTCTAAAGGCTAGCCAGGCCTGCACCAAGCCATGTGAAGGCAGGAAGCCCTGAGCAGAGTCCAGCCTGGGTGTGTGATGAGGGTAGCACACTCCCCAGGGCTGCTTGCACAGCTGGACTGCGCTTCCAGCACCTGGCTCTGTTTCAGATGTCTCTGGTCAGCATCAGGCTAGGCATCATCGACGTTATCAACAGAAGGGCCATGCCCGGGCCCGCCCCAGGTCATCAGTTGTGTTGCAGTGGCTTCTCTAAGCTGCGTGTTCTCTCCCTTTGATTCAAACCAGATATCGATGAGTGTGCCGCCAGCAACCAGACGCTCTGTGCTCACGTCTGCACCAACACCGTGGGCAGCTACCGCTGTGAGTGCCGGGAGGGCTTCATCCTGGAGGACGACGGGAAGACGTGCACCAGGGGAGACAAATACCCCAACGACACCGGTGAGTGACAGTTACAGACCATTTTTATACGTTATCAGATCTGGACACAATTTTACCTTTTTATCTATCTTTATATACACTTCTCTATACCTTTTTACCCTGTATGTTGTATAAATATAATACCATAATGCCTGTTATTTCATGTAATATGTATTATGGTCTCTAATGTATATTATTTATGTACTATAACCTATAAGGGTCTCAAGTATGTATCTATCATGGCATTAAAATATAAATATGTACAACATATGGTTCATATTACATAATTATATTTTCTGTAACATTTTAGTGTTTTATATGTCATATATCCTATTTTGCATAATTTGCCTGTATTATAATATATACATAACATGCATATTATTATTACCTATAGCCATTGGGGATCCCCATGAGCAAGAAGGAAGGGACACTTACACAAGTGGTAGGAGGGACCTGGGGTAAAAGGATATAAGTTCAAATGCTTCTAAGGAAAGGTGGTGGGATGCAATGTCGATTTATCATCCAGAGTTAGAAGAAGGCAGGAGGCTCATGGGAAATCAGCAAAGCTTGATTATATATTAAGCGTAATGTAGGTGAACTGGGGAGAGGGCAGAAAGATCATGTCCTCTCAAAGGAAATGTGCTGAAATAAAAGCACAAACCATTTTCCACATAAGGTACCAATCTGTATGGGTGCTACTCAAAAGTGTAGCCTTCTGCCTAGGCCCTGTCCATGAGCTGTTTGTTACTTGACTCATGATTAGATTTTTTTTCAAAAACATGAAGAGTGCTTGTGAATTTTTATAGCAATGTGACAGAGGAAATTTAGTTCAACCCGGAAACTGTGTGCTGGTGTTACATGTCCTGATTTCTCAGGCAGTTCATTTTGTATTTTATGAAAAGCGTCAGCCCACCGTCCATAGGGATTGGTCTAACAGCTGGAGTTCCGGCACAGCCTGAGCAGCTGGGCCACCTCATGTCCCCCGATCCCACTGAGATGTCTGGTCACCGAGGCACATGATCAGCCCAAGTGCCAGGTTCCTTCCCAGAGTGTGGAGTTAAAAAAGAACAAATGAGATGGAGGGGAATGGTAAGGGAGCAGGGGAGAAGAAAAGGAAAAGACTTCCCCAAACTTATGTCTGTGCTTCAGAGAAGGCCTTAGTAAGTGAACTGTCACAACAGTCACTCATTAAGTAACTCTGATCTCTGCCAAGTTAGCAGTGCCTGCTAGCCATTAAAAATTCAGGATTTCAGTCTATAGGCCATAATGTCGCTAAGTCTTCCTATTGGACTGAGCCAAATAATCTGACCAAAGTGAACCAGGCAAATTACCTAGATCGAAAGTCCTTAGTCTCTTAAAGGGCCGGAGGCCAGGTCTTGTACTGACTGCCATGGGCCTGGCTCCTCTACCCACCAATGTAGGCAGGAAGGTGCTACGGGCTGAGCTCTGTCATCCAGGCTTTGCTCATTCTTCCTCTTGGGAAGAGACTATAACTAGAACACGGTCATGACAGCTGAAGGGAGCCAGGGCTATTTTTTTTTAGAAGGGAATAGTCTTTCAGGTCAAATCCCAGCTCCCTAGCAATGCAGGGAGATGAAGAAGCCAATCCGAGCGCTCAGGGGAGCTTCAAAGGGGGAGAAGAGATAGCAGACAGCTGGGCCCCAGCCTCCTCCGAAGGAAAAACTACAAAGCAATGTTGAGTTGAGTCATGAGGAAGTGTCATGTGTTAGAAGTGAATGTACAATACCTATTTAGAGCCAGCTTGGGGGCGGGGTTGTTGAGGTTCATTGCATAAGCTAGAAGACTGGGGCTGGGGACCGTTTTGAGAGCCTGGAACATAGGGGAGCTTGCCCCCTCCCTCTCCCCCTCCCCAAGGTGATCATAGAACAAGCAACAGCAGACTTTGAGGCAGAGGTTGAGAGAGACCAAAATGATGTCCACAGATGTTTTTTATTCAAAAGTAAAATAACTGCCTTTTGCTCAGAGGCAGAGAAGGTGGGAGGAGGCAGCAATGTGTAATTTACCTCTTAGATTACAGCCTTTATTGAAAAAAAGAATCTCATGGTGGGGAGAGGGGGAAAGGAAGGGGAGAGTGGACACCATTTTTTAAGCTATTCATCTGTTCGTGTGTGTGAGTACTTGAGAATTAGCTACCAGACAGGAGCTTTCTGATTTTTCACATTGAAACTAGATTTCCAGCTCCTGGGCTTGGTGGGCTGTGGGCTGCCCAATCTGGCGATAGCATTTGTATCTTTGCCTCAAGTTTAGGTGCAGGCAAATCCTCTTTTGCCTGATATCCAGGAAGTCAGGAGTGACCCTGATCAGAGCAGAGCCATCAGAAACTGCAACGGCCCACTCTACCGAGTATCAAGGCAGGAATGAGTGGGTTGAGGATCCATAACACGTGGGACCTGACCCCTCCCACCTGCACTCTCTACCTGGTCAAGGAGAATGGGCTGCAGGGAAACAGACCATCACTGGCAACAACCAGAGAGGTTGATGACAGAGACTAGCAGCAAATATTAGATGCTGAGTCTTCTTGTTCTTTGGTTTCCGGTTCCCTCCACCCGCTGCAGTGATATCCAGCTTCTCCAACGCTTTCCTCTCCAATCTCCAGTCCAGCAGCTTATATGGTCACCCTGCTGCATGTGGTACCCAAAGGATGGCTCCGAGCGAGAGTGCAGGGAGAGCATCTGCCTTGTGGAAAGGCACTCACCGATGCCCTGACCCTCTGTGAGGGAAGTTAAATCTCTGTCATTTGTGTTGCAGCAGTTCTTCCATTAGGTCCCACAGGACTTTGGGGGCCTGTGAGGTGCTTATGAGTTTCTCTCTTAACCATCCTGTGCACACAAGTTTGGAGATGTGCACCTCACCAGACCCATTCTTTGAAGGATTTGCAGCTCAAGTAGACTAAAAGAGAGATTGCTTTTTTTAAAAAAAAGTTGGCTACAAATTGCAGCTGAGTTTTTTTTTCTTTTAAAAGCTCCATTCTTTCACCCCATCCCCCTGAGACAAGATCTCATTCTAGAATCCAGGCTGGCCCTGAACGTGAGCTCCTCAGAAATACTAGCATGCCCAGAATGAAAAATTATTTCTTAGGAAACTTTATAGCCAAGTGAGGTACATGCCTATAATCCCATCACTGGGGAGGCTGAAGACAGGAGGTCATGAATTTGAAGCCGGGCTAAGCTATAGAGTGAGACCATATCTCAAAAGTATAACAAATACGGAGCTGGTGCCAGTGGTTCACATCTATAGTCCTAGCAACTCAGTAAGCTGAGATCTGAGGACCATGGTTTGAAGCCAACCTGGGTAGGAAAGTCCGTGAGACCCTTATCTCCAATTAACCATAAAAACACTGGAAATGGAACTGTGGCTCAAGTGATAGAGCACTAGCCTTGAGCAAAAGAAGCTCAGGTACTACACCAGGCCCTGAGTTCAAGCCCCAGGACTGGCACTCCAAATGAAAACAAAACAAACCAAATATATACAAAGCATAAGCATTTGGTTCTGTTTTATGAAGAGAAACCTCCCAACACTGAGAAGAGTCACTCACACACAGTTCTGAGGAGGGACCTGCATTGTACACACAGCCTTCGCATCCTGTTTCACGTGGTTGGGCCACTGAGCAGGGGAGACTAGCTCTGATGGTTTGGCCAGGGAGGAAGCCCTTTGACAGCTGTGATGCTGTGGGATGTTCTCGGGAGTCAGAAGAGCTGGAAACCAGGCCTGCTGTAGGACTCACTATCTCTGTGACCTTGGTCAGATCTCTGGGGCTCTGTTTTCCTACCTGTAGATTAGAGGGTTGACACCTATGAACTCAGAAGACCCTCACAGCCTCTTAAACTTGTTTCCAAATTTGGTGTAATTAATCGAAGCCCCTGCCAGCCTTGGGCACCCTGCACAGTTCTCATTTCTTTGTGCCGTCAGTACTGAGACTTGAAAATACGACCAACTTCAATGGGTTCTAAGCAGAAAAAGTTCCTTACAGTATCTAAAAGGTGAGTAACCGCACATCTGAGCATGTGAGGCAGCTAAGAGGTTTGTCCTAATTAATAACCCCAGTAGTTCACATAATCGTGGTTGGGGGCAGGAAGGGGGGATATGAATGATGATTGAATACAAACACATGTCATCTCCCCTTCTATCTTCTCATTTTTAACTTTGCATTGTCTAATGTCTACAAGGTAGGAGGGTTGTTTTTTTTTTTAAGCAAAGACAGAGTAGAGGGGGCATGGCCCCCACAAGACTTCTGAAGATGGAGAGCTGGAGATTCCTGGGTTCAGTGACACAAGCCATCTGGCTAATAGGCGTTTCAGTCTCTTTGATTTGGGGTTTGGAAAACATGGAGCTGGAGCCAGTTTCAGCACCCCAGGGAGTCTGCTCAGTGCTCATGGGGAGACGCGTGAAGGAGATGCTGGCTCCGCAGTCATTAGCGTACCTTTTATTCTTCAACTTTTGTTTCTTTTCCGATAACACGGCCATGACCCCTGGCACCGTTCACGCCAGTTCAAAGTCAAGAGACAGCCAGGTGTTCAATCTCACTTTCAACCTCTGATTAAGTCATAGACGCATGACTCTCAACCTTGCAGTCACCTGGGGAGCTCTCGAACACGCAGATCCTGTTGCCGCACGGCCTCCCCGAGATGGATGGGGTGCAATAGATTTCTCAGCATTTTTAAGAGCCCCCAGAGGATCATAATCTGGCATGGCTGTGCACTTCCACGAAATCTAGAGCACAGATCTGCACAACCGACCTTTCAAAACAAACATGGTTTTTGTTCATTCGTGACACCACCCACATGAAATATGTTGGGAACATTCTTTCGTTTTTCTATGTTCATTTGGTCTTGCTACCATGATGGGCTGAGTGTCAACATTTCTGATGCTTCCTATGTATAGCCTGCTAAATTTCAGTAAAAATATGAGCTCTCTGCCCCCTTGTGGCCAGTTGAGAACATTGCATCTTTAACATTGCAACACGCTGGAAGGATATTGTTAAATGCTACCTGGAAATGCACGCTCACACCATTAATGAAGAGGACTGAAAACACACAGGAGAGATCCCATCTTGATTTCTAAATGAACCACTAACATACCATCTATGAGATGGTTTTAGCGCCACAAGGACCTTTATCAGGGTGTATTCCACAAACTTCACACACAAACAAGGTAGAGTGTTGATCTTCATCCCTCTCAGATCTGTAGTCACAGAATGATATCAAGTGGCCTGCCTAGTAACACTCATTTTTTTAGGTAAATGATAAGCATTAGGATTAATGAGTATCTTATATTGGGAGCATATGCACTGGGAGAGGCAACCGTTGTGGGACTTTTGCGTCTTCTTTCATTGATTCATCATAGGTGACAGGTAACAAGTGTTAGTACCATCTTATCATCCAAGGCACAGATGCACACAGAGATGTGGTTTGTGCAGTCTGAAAGGTACTGAGTGACAGCACTAAGATTAAAATCCTGATTCTCTGAGTCCACCAGCATCTGCATTGTGTGCTTCTGTATCTGTGGGACTGTCAAGTCTTTTGGATGATGTTTAATCTTGATGTTTCAGCATCTGATCATTGTACAAAGGAACAGAATGCAACCCGGGCCATTCCATGACAACACTCAAGTTACTTCCTTGTCTGGATCTTGCTTTCCTTTTCTATTAGAGACAATGGCACAGAGATGGGCCAGCTCTAATATTCTATGATCCAGATGCAGTCTAGAACCTACCAATGAGGTTTATCCGGTCATAAAATTGTCACATTGCCCAGTGACACCAACACTAGGAAAATTTCAAGTAGTTATGTTAAAATACAAATGTAAACTTTGGTACGTGACCTCCCATTTCTGCCAACAGGACTAGCTTCCAAAAAAGGTCAAGTATGAATTGTGAACTAGGTTTCATCATGTTTGTTGCTGTTTTTAGTTTGGTTTTTGTTTGTTTTTTGTCAGTCGTGGGGTCCAGGAGCTGTCCCTGAGCTCTTTTGCTCAAGGCTAGCTCTCTGCCACTTTGACCCACAGTGCCACTCACAGTTTTTGAGTGGTTAATTGGAGATAAGAGTTTCACAGGACATTTTCACCCCAGCTGTCTGAACTATGATCCTCATATCACAGCCTCCTGAGTAGCTAGAGACTTCTCAGGTTACATGCATGAGCCACCGGCACCTGACTCATATTTCTTTTATTTAACACACTTTGCACAGGCAAAATAGCAGATGCTGAATAGATGAGTAGAAGGGAAAGGAGGTTAGGAAAGATGGATGGATGGATGGGTGGGTGGATGCATGGATGGATGGATGGATGGATGGATGGATGGATGAATAAATGGTTGGGGGGATGGATGAGAGAATTCTAGATGGAAGGTAGGGCAGACATCTGGGTGGGATCACATAAAATGGATACTTAGGGTTGAAGGATGGAAGCTTTGGTGAACTTAAGTTGTGTGTACCCAGAATGTGAGTTCCTATGGGAGCAGCTGACCCAAAGTCCAGAGTGACTAGGTTTGTTGATGACCTATAGGTAGTTGATGCCATTCATCTCTCATGGGCTAGTCATTAACCATTGGAATGGAAAGCATTGGGCAATGACCCCTTCAACCCCTCTACCTGCTTTCTGGCTAGGCTGTCTCTCTTCCTCTGCTCTTCTACAAAGTCCTCTTTTTGTCTCTCCTTTTCGGGTCCCACCCAACCCAGCCCAACTGCCATGAAGATGTGAATTGTCAGAAGCAATGAAGATTCCCTTTGTGAGTTCCGTTACTTAAGCTCAAGGATATTGCTGGCCTGCGAGCAATAAAGCAGATTTATAGAGCGGTGTCCTGAAAGGCACTGATGAAGGCGCCATGTTTTCAGACATGAAAGGCATTGATAAAAGAACCCTGGTCCACATTTTCATGCATTTGGGATGTCTAATGAGGAACAGCTGCCCAAAGGGTAGTGGGGCCTCTCTTCCTCTCGTGTCCCCTCTCCCCTGAGTTGGGGCATGCCGGCTGAGACCTCAGAACTGTGAAATCCTCTGCATCCACTTCAGCGGCTCTGTGCCCACCCCACCCCACCATGCAGGGCCCTTCCTCATCCTGCCTCATTCCCCAGGGCACGAGGAGAAGTCCGAGAATGCCGTGAAGGCCGGGACGTGCTGTGCCACCTGTAAGGAGTTCCACCAGATGAAGCAGACGGTGCTGCAGCTGAAGCAGAAGGTACCGGGAGTCTGGCGGAGCAGTGCAGTGTAGGGAAGGAGGGTCTGGCCGGAGTGAAGGGCGGGGGCATCCACACTGAGCATCGCTGTGGTTCATGTCAGCTGAGTGGATACACGCTGCTTCCCCACGCCAGATCTGAGAGTCTAAAAGGTGACACGACACAACACACACGCATACCCTAAAGAAGTTCATATCTTACATAGATTCTAGGAGGGAACACGCGGTAGAACTATCGAGAGGATAGAGATGCTACTATTATGTTTTGTTTTTTATGACAATTTTATTGTTACTATTAAGATGTTGTACAGAGGGGCTGTTATTTCATAAGTCTGGTAATTATTACATTTCTTTTGGGGGGGATAAGTTACCTCTTCTTTAACTTTTTTCCACTTTTCCTCTCCAATCCTTGCTTATTTTGTGGGGGTTTTTCTTTGAGACAGAGTCTTTCTTTATAAGTCAAGCTGACCTTGAACTCAATCTGTATCCAAATCAAGCCTCAAACTCATGATTTTCCTGCCTCTGCTGGAATTCCTGAGCACTGGAATTACATGTCATATACCATGCCCAGCATGATTGTGAACTCTTGTAGAACATACACTCCTGTTCTCTGTTCCCTAGGATGGCTACCATTTTATCTGTGCTTCATTGACAAAGAACTTCTTTTTTCTTTTTTAAGAGAGAACTTCCTCTCTAAACTTTTTAAAATGGTGAGTTTGTACATAGCTTTATTACACATAAAAAATTAAGGTCTGGCCCACAAAAGGTAACCTTTGGTAACCTCAGGCCACCCAGAGTGAGACCTGGCTCCCTGGATGGAAAGATCCACCCAGGAATGGGCACTAGGTCTGTGGTAACATTGTTGTGCCTGGAGTAAGGGCCTCACGAGGGATCTGGTGGCCTGACTTTTGGGAGACTGTCGTGAGCCTGGATGGTCAGTGTTTATCATACCTGAAATCAGTCTGTTTGATGGCCCTTAACACTGCTCCACACAAACTTCCTGGTTTATTCATGTAATTGCTCCCACTCACGGCTCTGAACAGATCGCCGAGGAACATAGACTCTGAGTAACATTGCCAACCAGTTCTCCTAAGAGGCAAAACGTAAGCCTGAGGCATTATCTCTTCTCCATGCTCAGCAAGCTTGTAGCCAGCCCTAATGAGAACCACAGCTACCCATTAAGTAAGAGAATAGATACGCTGAGAAGAAGTGGCTTTCTGGAATCTGCACATGGTTAATGATGATCTATTCAGCTTTGTCAGGAGACCTATATATATATGTTATATAATCACAAGTAAAACATACAATTATGTGATTCCAACAAGCTTGTGATCAATAGAGACCAAGCAGAATGCTTCGCATGGATGCCAGTATAACCACAGAGAATGAATAAATGCACGCCACACAGATATCCTCAGGTGAATCATGAATTGATATGAGTTTGGTGTATGTGTCTCAAGCCAGTACTGAGTCTTGAACTCAGAGCCTGGGCACTGTCCTTTCGCTTTTTCTCTGGACGCTAGCACTCTACCACACCTTCACTTCTGGCTTTTTGGTGGAAAACTAGAGGTAAGAGTCTAACGGACTTTCCTGCCAGAGCTGGCTTCCAATTACAATCCTCAGATTCTAGAAATACATTTGGTTAAGTTTGCTAACTATGTGACCCCAGGCGACTTAATCTCTCTGTGTCTCCATCAAACCTGCTGCACAGGGTTTTCAAGATGAAACAGTGCCTGCCTTTCTGTAAACACCTACTGAATACATAATTAACATCAGCACTAATTATGAAGTGCCTTTCAAGCTGCATCTCACAAATTCATGCCACTGAGCTCTGTACTTCATTGTGGGCTCCAGAGTTATATTATACAGGCTAACATGAAACGCTGATCCTCCAAATTTCACTGATGGAAGCTGAGGGAAAATGGAAAGTACTAGAGCCCTCCTCCGAATTCTTGCATAACAATATCTGCATCCCACAAGCCCACCTCGGCCTCGGTTGTGCAGAAGGCCGCCTCTAACACATTTAACACACAGGTCCCTTCACTCCTGTCCCCCCACAGCCAGAATGTGAGTGCCCATGGGGGCAAACAGGAGGCCAGATCAGTCTTTCCTGGCTTGTCTTTAGCTTTGACAAGGAGGCCCAGGGTACGCTTAGGAAGAGCACAGTGAACAGTTTGAAAGCACAATCTTGTGCACGACACATCCCCAGGCTTGCTTTCCTGACATTTGAAGTGTGCAGATCTGATCATCTCATTCTGTGGACATGAAGATGAAAACCTAGAAGGCTATGAGGTCATAGGTAACAATGTCAGGCAACCACTTAGGATCAGAGCCAGGAACAAGTGTAGCCAGAGCATTGCTCTGTGTTAATGTACAAAAGCTGGACTCTGGTCCAGGCACATTAAAGATATCATGAGTTTGCTCCTATAGCAGCCCTGTAGGTGTTCTAAGACCAGTCTTATGATGAGGATGTCCAGATCCCACAGGCAGAAAACAAGAGGCCTGAGGTTTCAGCGGGAGTCTGCCCAGTGTCAGAGTCCACCTTTCAGCTGCTCCCTCAGAGTGGGTAATCTGTCTTCAAAGCTTTACTGTTCCCCTCTTCTCTTTGTAGATTGCCCTGCTCCCCAACAATGCTGCTGAGCTCGGCAAGTATGTCACTGGGGATAAGGTACTGGCCTCAAACACCTACCTTCCAGGACCTCCTGGCCTACCTGGGGGCCAGGGCCCACCTGGTGAGTGTGTGAAAGGCCCCCAGAGGCTGAGAGAGCCAGCTGGGGCCTGCTGAGAACTCATGCACAGCGGGGCTGGGTGGTGTTCTTGGGCCTCCACTGTGAGAAGTAAAACAGGTGTTGGGGGGCTGGCGTACACCTGTGCCAGGAGGGGTCCTGAGGAAGTGGGAATGGACCTAAAGATTGTTTTAAACTAGAGAAATACACAATAATAACTGCATTTTTAAACTTTATACTAGAAAGAAGTTAACAGATACAAAAATAGAACAGTGTTATCACTCAGTTCTGCTAACCCATGACCCACCCCCCTTGTTTCCACTTTTTCCCAGTTCTCATTCCCCTTCCCTTGATATTGTAACATATTTATATTTATACTCACAGTTTTGCCTATCTATATATTTTTCTTTAAAAGTAGGCATTAGGCCAAGCTTAATAACTCAGTGGCTCAGGAGGCAACCATCAGAGAATCGCAGTTTAAGACCAGGCACCCCAAATTGCTATTGAGACCCCCATATCAATAAAATACTGGGTATGGTGCTGTACACTTGACAGAGTAGTTTTGTAGGAGGCCTAAAATAGGAGGATCACAGTCCAGACTAGCCTGGGCAAGAAGAGCAAAGACCCAGGAAATATGCGATAAAAACTTAAAAATAACTACAAGCTGTTTTATATTTTATTATGAGCCTCTGCACAGACAGATCAATAGAATTTTTCACAAAAGAATATGATATCAGTGCTTATGTGAGTCTAAATAACTGTCTTATCTCAGGTTATCAGAGTTTAGCAGTGCCAGGTATTCCAAATGGCCTCCTACCATCCTAGCAAGATACATGTGGTGAATGCAAATAGAGGTCAAGAATATGAACACACTGCCAAATATGAAGAACCACATGCTTTCTGCCCTGGGACCTGGAAGAAGAGAGAGGTTACATTAGCTTGTAGGGGATAGGGTTTGGGGCCTTGGTACGGATACAGAAAAATGATGGAGTTTGCATGAGCCAGAAGGGAATGGGTAGGCTTTAGCTGGGAGGATAAAGCAGGAACGTAGGCTCAGAACTCTTCCCAATGGATCTGGATGGTTTCTATGTCCTTATGCCTCATGGCTTTTCTCAAGCACAGGAGGCCTGGTGCTCAGTCTAGATAGAGAAGAACTGGCCGAGGGCTTTAGATTGTTCATGTCTTTGACCTGAGCTTGTTTAGACAGGCATGGACTTCCTCCAGCATATGCCACACACAGGCAGCTTCTGACTTTTTCTTTTTAAATTGTATTGTATTATCTTTAAGTAGATGTACAAAGGGGCTGCCATTCCACGTGTCTGTTTATAAGTACGATGCATCTTGATTGATTTCGGAGATGACAGGAATCTCTTCTTGGCATAGCATTTCCTCCCCCACTGTAAGAGGAGTTTCTGCTTCTGTGGAGGAATCTCATCTCCAGACGAATGTCCACACCATACCACTAGAACAAGACAGCTGTCAGAGTAGGAAAGATTTGCTTTTCTTGCTTTTCTTCTCTCTCTCTTGTTTGTATTTGTTTTGATTTCTGTGAGTTGTGAAAGTCTCTGCTACATAACCCAGGCTTGACCTTGAACTCCCAAACCTCTTGCACCAATCTCCCGAGTGCTAACATTACAGGTGCGTATCACCTGGTCCAGCTGTTTTCTTCATAAATGACTTGCTAGCAATTCTGCTATCTGGTGTCTAACATGGTTTGAGCTGTCCAGGGTCCTTGCAGGAGCAGAGAGGTAACTGAGGATGAGTGAGATTCACAATGGACCAAGCCCTCTCGCATGAAGAAATTTTCATTTCTTATTTCTAGTGCTGGGTTGCTCTCCATTAAGATGTATTAGAGAAGCTTAAAAGCCAATAGGGTTTCTCGCACCTGCAAATAAAAGTTCAGTCCAAGTCCATGCTGAATGACAGCCTGGCAGCCACACCAGAAGCTACACTGGGTCAGAATCCATTGACTTTGGTAGTTGAGAGAGTGGCTGCTGCTCTCTGAACCAAGGACAGACGGTGGGAAGCATCTCAGGTTTCTGATTTGAGATTGAGGAAGGAGAGGAAGATGGAGAAGACGATAGTGTTGCATTAATATTCTCATGAGGCATGTTAGTGGAGCTACCAGAAGGCCAGTCAGATGCCGGTGGCTCACACCTGTCATCCTAGCTACTCAAGAATTTGAGATCCAAGGATTGCAGTTCAAAGCCAGCTTGGGCAGAAAAGTCCGTGAGACTCTTATCTTCACATAGCCACTAAAAAGCTGGAAGTGGAAGCGTTGGCTCAAGTGTCAGAATGCCAGCGTTGAGCAAAAACAGCTCAGGGACAGTGTTTAAGGCCCTGAGTTGGAGACCTGGCACAGAAAAACAGGGTTGGGGTCAGCGGTTGCATGAACTGTGGACTAACCTGTCCGCCAGAGCCTTCTCAGGGGATGTGTTCTTTCCTTACAGGCTCACCAGGACCCAAAGGGAGCCCGGGCTTTCCAGGTAGGCCTGGCCCTCCCGGGCAGCCTGGCCCCCGGGGCTCCATGGGACCCATGGGACCGTCTCCGGATCTGTCCCACATTAAGCAAGGCCGGAGGGGCCCTGTGGTCAGTATCTTAGCAGAGGTGTGCTGAGGTTGGAGAAGGTGATTCTTGTCCTGTGCTTTTTCCTCCGGTTAAACCAGATCCTTGTGTCTCATAGGGTCCGCCAGGGGCACCAGGAAGAGATGGCTCAAAGGTAAGCCTTGTAAACAGGGTCCATATAGCTGAGGGTCTCTCTGCTACCACCCACTACACAGACATCTGGTCAAGCTCAACAGGCAACTGTTTACATCCACACATTACCTAGGGCAGAATGGAACCACAGATAGCAAAAATCCCAGTGCTCCAAAATCCTAAACGTTTAGAGCACTAACATGACACTCAAAAAGGTTTTTAAGCTGATCATAGATTTTTAAGCATCAGGAGTTTAAGCTGGTCATGGTGGTGCATGCCAAAAAAAACCGACCATGAGAGGCTGAGGTATAAACATCTTGAGGTTGAGGCCAGCCTCAAAGAAAAACAAATGGAGTGGGAGGGAGAGTTTGAAGCAGCTTTTCAGATGAAGGATGTTCAATCAGAAAAATTTTGCAAATATTTCAAATTCATTGAGCTCCAAAATCTGAAACACTTTTTGTCCCAAAGCACTTTGGATAAAGTATACTCATAACTTACTTTAAAAAAATAAAAAATGAGGGGGCAGGGAAGGTGGCTCAGTGGTAGAGTGCTTACCTCAAATGCATGAGGCTCTGGGTTTGATTCCTCAGCACATAAGTAGAAAAAGCTGGAAGTGGCACTGTGGCTCAAGTGGTAGAGCACTAGCCTTGAGCTGAAGAGCTGAGGGGCAGCGCCCAGACCCTGAGTTCAAGCTCCACGACCGGCAAAAATAAATAAATAAATAATAAAAATAAAAAATGAGAACAAGCTGAGTGCTCATACCTGTAATCTGTAATCCTAACTACTCAGAGGGCTGAGATCTGAGGATGACGGTTCAGAGCCAGCCTGGGCAGGCAAGTCTGTGAGATGTTTATCTCTAATTAACTACTAGAAAATCAGAAGTGGCACTGTCAGGGACAGTGCCCAGGCCCCAAGTTCAAGCCCCACAACTGATAGAAAAAGAAAAAGAAAAAAAGAAAAAGGAGACCAAAATCTAAAAAGCAGGACTCCTTTATTTGTATGTTTGATTTTATGTTTATTTTTATGTTATGGAAAGCAAAAAGGAAAAAACAGTCACCAGTCTCATTACTAGGAACATAACCCTGGCCTCTCTGTTGTGCTGGCTATGCTGGTTTTGCTCATTACCATGTTTGTTTTGGAGGATGGTTTTGCCTGGGCCCTCATTTCCCTGCTTGAAGTCAAGAACAGAAGTTCTGTTTCACTTTTTCAAGCTGACTGCTTTCCGATCTCTTAGAGAAGCTGGCGTGCGTTGCTTTAGAATGTGTCTGTTATTTTACACACTGCCTGAACATACAAGTATTCCTCTTGTCAGATCTGGTTAAAAAATATATGGCCTTAGGGGAACTTGGCAGAGAGACACTTGACCTAAGCAGTTCTGTTCAACTAATTGGTCCCATGAGTCTAGCTTCAATCCCACATTTGTTTCCTATAGAAAAGGCCTGGTTTGCACAGGGAGATGGATGGTGGGTGTCTAGAATAGAGACGATGGAGGCAACATCTGTGTGTTCTGAACACTAACCTCGACCTTTCTGTTTCCAGGGAGAGAGAGGAGCACCTGGGCCCAGAGGGTCTCCGGTAAGTGGTACTTCCTGTCAAGCTGGGGGCGGGGCAGGAATGTAGCTCTCAACCTCTAAGAGCGATTAAGAGGGTCTTAACCAGAGAAACAACGCCCCCTCCCAGCTGTCACTCTGAAATTAGGGAGAATCACAGAGGCCTGTAATCGCCGGTTTGGGTTTCATTTTTTTAATTTGTTTTCTCTGGTTACTTTTTCTTTTATCTCAGCTAATCTTTATACGAAGTATCTACTCACCAGTCCCACTATATATTATATACTATTTCCAAGTATATTATAACATACCTGAAAGGACCAGTCTACCAGGCAGTGGGTGGTCCTGACGGGATGGAAGAAGAAATTAGCTCCCTGTAGACATAAGCATCTAGGAGATTCAAAATGGACACGAGCCCGGCTCCACCGGCTCACACCTATAATCCTAGCTAGTCAGGAGGCTAAGACCCAAGGATCACAGTTCAAAGCTAGCCCAGGCAGCTTGGTAACCACATCTCTTAACATCTCTGGTCATTCCTCACCTCTCAGCAGGCTTAATAGTGGAGTGTGATCCGCCACACTGGTTATTATGAGTGTGAGCTGACATAAAAACACTGCACCTGTACGCTTTATGGTATATGCCATTGCATCATTGTACTTTTAAGCTTTTCCACCAGATCCAGGAGATATGTGTATATACTTTGATGGTGGTAGTGGAGCTTCAACACGTTGTTATTGCTTTGTTGTTGTTATTGTTGACGACATGGAAATTAAAGCTTAGTAAAACTGGGGACCCCTGACTCATAATCCTAGCTACTCAGTGGGCAGAAATCTGAGGATCTCAGTTCAGTGCCAGCTTGGGCAGAAAAATCTGAGAGATTCTTATCTCCAAACAACCCATCAAAAAGCTGGAAGTGTAACTCAAGTAGTAGAGCTCCAATCTGGAGCGAAAAAGCTATGTAAGAGCACAAGGCTCTGAGTTCAAGCCCCAGTGCCAGCACAAAAATAAAAAGTTTGATAAATACTATATAGTGATAATAGATGTTTAATAAATAGGAAAAATATGAAGTTCTTATTTGGACCTTTTCTAGCCAATAAGGATTTGGGGGCTTTTTTGTTTATTTGTTTTTTATGCCAGTCCTGGGGCTTGATCTTAGGACTTGAGCATTTATTCAAGGCTAGTGTTCTACCACGTAAGCCACAGTACCATGTCCAGCTTTTTCTAACTGGACATAAAATAAGAGTCTCACAGACTTTTCTTCCCTGGGCTGGCTTTGAACCATGATCCTCAGAGCTCAGCCTCCTGAGTAGCTAGGATGACAGGTGTGAGCCACCAATGCCCAGCTAGGATTTGGTGTTTGCAAACCATGCTCTCAAAACTATCTTTAAATGTCATTTTTAAAGAATAGCTGATAACATTTTGTGCTTTTAGTATAAGTCACTTAAATGCCGGTGTCTGAACTCTGACAGTCTGTAAAGGCAGGACTGTTATTATTATGCCCATTTTCCAAATGAGCAACTGAAACTCAGAGAAATCAAGTGATTTGCCCATGACCACACAGCTTCCAGTAGCAAAGCTGAGACTCGAACCCAATCGAATCTAGCCTCTATTCTACGGTCTTCACAGTGACTTCCACACTCCTTTGGAGCATACCTCAGAAGGTTGTTCTCATATTCTTCTGGCAGATTGGTGGTTGCCTGGAGTTAGGAGACAGGAGACAGGGGAGTATGTCACCAGTTCTATGTGAGATGGGAAGTTAGAGAACAATCTGGAAGGTCCCAGGCTGTTAGGCGACGTACTAACAGCCAGAAGGCTATAACTGGGGTGAGGGCAAGTCTGCCATAAATCATAGCTTTGATTTCTCCCACGTGCCCAGGGCCCCCCGGGGTCATTCGACTTCCTGCTGCTTATGCTGGCTGACATCCGCAACGACATCGCTGAGCTGCAGGAACAGGTGTTCGGGCACCGGACTCACTCTTCGGCAGAGGAGTTCCCTTCGCCTCAGGAATTCTCCAGCTACCCAGAGACCATGGACTTTGGCTCTGGAGATGACTATCCAAGAGGAACCGAGGCAAGAGACTTGGGGGGTCCCAGAGACTTGTACCCATAGCACATAGTTACATCTTCAGCGGCAAAAGAGCCCCTTGTCCTGCAGTTCAAGCATCTAAAGAAAAAGCCACTGGAGGCCTACAGGATACATTTTGTTGTCTTTCCTCTCATTCCTTCTTTCCCACTAGGCCTCTTCCAAATACTGTTTTCCAAGTCTCAGTGAGCCCTGCTGGAGTTAGATAGCACATGGCAAATGAACACACTTCCTGTGGAGGGACATTGGATGGTGTAGATCATGCTTCTTCCATGATCTGTTGGACTTCTGTTAATTACTCTCACGATATCGTAAAATTAGGCGGAATACCAAAAGGGGGAGAGGGGATTGGGATTGGCCAAGTGAGCTCTTAAAACATGTGTGGCTACTTCTAAAAACAAGTGTGTTCAAAGTAGACTAGACCATTCCATTTAAAAGGGGATGGAGGAGGATCTTTCTTGACAAGCTAATCAATTTTAAAGTATTCCATCTCATTATCCAAGTGTGTCACTCATATTTTGTTACAGAAAGGAGAAAATTTAGGAGTGGAGATTAGGGGAAATGGAGAAGAATTATAGTCATACATTTTTACTGTCATATAACTTGCCATATTTTGAACTCTACATAGGACAATTAGAGGGTCATATCAACTATTTATAAGTGTCCTACGTGGAAAAGATAGTTCCTCTGGCTGTATAAAAAAAATCTTCTTTTAAAAAAAATCTTCTTTTACAACGAGTAGATGGGAATAAAATCCATTTTGTTCCTTGCTTAGGGCTGGGGGTGTGTGGCTCAAGTGGTAGAGCACTTGCCTAGAACACTGAAAGCCTTGAGTTCAAGCCCCGGTACTACGAGAAAAAGAAAACTTTCTTAGAAACTGTTTGATTATAGGCGTACCTTGTTCCATACAGCACAGATGATTTGTTAAATAAAGTGGTTTGACCTTTAGAAAGAGGTGCAGAATTCCCTGGCTCAGACCAGGTGCCCAGAGACACACCATTGGGTCATGATGCAAGTTGAAAATTGCAGAGTGGGGTTCAAGGCTGGAAGGAGGGTGTTAGCCTAGGCTATGGGCAAAAGCAAAGAGAGGAGGGGCCCCATTGAAGCCTAATTCGTGGAGGCAGGTAAATTTGCTCTTCCAGGGCATTTGAGGTTCTTGTTTAGAGTCAGACCCACATGAGAATTCTCTTGAATAGGGAAATGGAAAAAAAATGGATTTTCTGTGCTCAGCAGAAATTCTCTCTTTCTTCCTTCTCTTCCTTCCCCCACCTTGGGCCTGGGTTCTATCCCTTAGCTGGTTTACTCAAAGCTAACATTCTGCCACTCCCCACTTCCACTTTTTTTTTTTGGTAGGTAATTGGTGATAAGAGTTTCACGTGCTTTCCTGTGTGGACTAGACTCAAACTTCGATCCTTATACCTCAGCTAGATTACAGGTGGGAGCAATCTTCTTGCTGACAAATAGGAGGAAAGGGCTCTGTCTACAAAGCTCTAGTGCTTCCTTCCTTTCCATCCTGTCCAAAATACAGTCTTGGGTCTGCTGTTTCTTACTTATGCCAAATCCTCTGTGACTGTCCACTAGCATTTTTAGAGATGAAGACAAATGCAGTCCTAGGTTTGCTTTCTGTCATCCCTTTATCCCCCTCTGTCTCTACAGAATTGGGCATTTATCATGAACCACACATTTGTGAAGGGATGGAAGCCACAGCTGCAGGGTCCTGCCTGGAATCTATTTAATGTTTGCTGCTTGTGGAATGCAGTATTTAAAAGGTGTGGATGGGTGGATGGATGCATGGATGCATGCATGTTTAAAAGAAAATTATGCACAGGTTCTATGAGAGATGATTTGCTCCATCTTTAATTTTTTCATGAAAATTTTTTATTATCTTGACTTTTTGGACAGTGAACTGTATTTAGAAATATAATCTTTACTGCCAAAGGCTTATAAAAATGCAAGATAACTGTAAGTTTGGTAAGAACCCAGGATAATATATTAAAAGAATGAATGGAACATTATAATAGCTAGGATTTGTGAGACTATTCCAGGTAAGTATTTCCAGCAAAACTCATAATAGCCTGTATTTTGTAATATCAAACTGCTAGGCTGTATCCATTTAGAAAGTCATTACTATCTTCAGCTTTTCAAAACTTGGGTAACTATATGATCAAATGTATACTCTTTAGGCCCAAATTATATTTTTCTAAGGTATCATTATCTCTAATATGTCTTAGTTGGGGCTTTAAAAAAAATCAAAGCTTTGATGTTTAAATAGGGCTTCTGCACAAAACATGAAAAAACATTAGGAGTAAGAATGAAACTTGCCACAGATATACTAAATCAGTTCTTGTTTCATGAGGGAAAATAGACTTTTATGTACCTCTTGAACTCTTTAGTAGACATGGTGACTTCATTTTTTTTTTTGCATCTTCCTAACCAGAACTGAGAGTTCTGGTTAGTTATAAGTTAGTTATAAGTTCACCTATGCTACTGCAAAGCAGTGGGAATAAAAGTCGACTGCAGGTAGTAGAAGGAGGGCATGCACTTTAGTATGAGGAAAACCTTTTCCCCTTCCCAGTTCCAAAGGGAGAGTTTCCCAGCTTTCTTGTGCTAATAGGGGCACAAAGAGGAGTCTGCCTTTTTTCACCGTCTGTGTTGATTTTCAACACCTACCACCCATTGACTAAAGTCATTTCTACTGTGTAAACTCAGACATGGGTGTAGCATGAGTAGAAAATAAATGCTCATTGGCATTTGGGAGAAGAGGGAAGTGTCAGTCCACCAAAAATCAGGTACAGAATACCCTGCTGGGTCATGTTTCCTTTCCTTTATTCAGGACCACTGTTGGCCCTCTTGTAGCCACACCCAAGAGTACAGGAGACAGCCCTTTCCATGACCAGTACCTGTTTTCAGGCTGCAATTCCTCATTCTATTTTGGATGTGATTTCCCTCTCCAGTTCCATCCCTGGTTCCTGCAGAGAGAGAGAGAGAGACAGACAGACAGACAGACAGAGACAGAGAAACAGAGAGAGACAGAGAGAGAGAGAGCGTGCGCACCACTGCAGCCTCATTCTGAGAACTTATCTTCCAGGCAGCCTTCCTGAAGGCTGGCCCAAACACTTAATAGAATAGAGCCATCTGAAGCTATTAATCATGAATTCGGGGAACTAGATGAAATGTTTCCTGGCACCATCAGCGTGTAGGTTTCATAACAAACCAAAAAAAATAATTTTCCATTTGGGAAAACAAAACCACAATGACTATAGTTGTTAATGCATAAAATCATGGGCTTTACGTTGTCCTTCTGCAAATGTTCCTGCTGTAAAGAAACCATAGGAAAGAATCCTTTTACTACATGTAAAATTCCCTGGGGTTCCCCAGGGGATTTTCAGGTGGGTTTACATCTCCTGGTGGCTATCATATGCTTCTGTAACTCTGCTCATTATTTATATTGGGTCATACCACAGTTGAGCTAATATTCCAACCAGTAATGGATGTGATACTATGAAGTACTTTTCTATGAATGTATATGCTTAATAACAAAGTTATTTTCTTATATGGTTCTACTGTGTTGTGTCCTGACACCAGTCCTGCGGATGGAACACTCTGTACCATGTGAATGCGAATGCAGGAAGATAGAGAACGACATTTCTCAAGAACTGGGGTGCACTGGGGATCCATCGCTCCCTGGGGGCTAGAAGTGGTCTGAGTCTAAATCAAGGTCTGAAGGCCCATGCAGCCCCTGAGGCTGGGCCTTATGAGATCTTTCTGTAGCTCTGAGTCCCCTGAAATGGGATTCTTAAATTAGGGGCTCTTTGAGAGTGCTGGGGTCTGGAAGGGTTGCTAGCTACCCCAATGCCCACCACTACTGTACCCAGAGTGACTTCAGTGTACATTCAGCTCTGACTGTTTTCCACTAGAAATTCAAATGATTTTCTTTGGGGGGTTGGGGAGAGAATGTAGACTACCCATAAAAGACAGACAGAGAGAGAGAGAGAGGCTAAATAGAGTTGGGAGAAAGAAGGTCTTGGAGTTGATAATTACAGTGTTGTATGGCAAGAGGATGGAAACCTTTATGCACTAGACCATAAGGGACTGTATGGGGTGGGGAGGAAAGGGAAGGAAGAAAGGAGGGAGGGAGGGAGGGAGGGAGGGAGGGACTGCTCCTAGGAGATTTTCACCATCTCAGGGTGCCATTAGTATCCTGAAATAACCTATATATTTACACATCTCCCTTTCCTTTAGTAAATACTTGTTAAGTGCCTGTTGGGAGCTGGATGTTGTGTTATGAGCTACACACACAATGTGGAATAACATGTCATAATTCTATTGCTCCCATGGGGACTTTTGATTGAACAGATAAGTATCCTTCCAGACAAAATAATTTAATCACATAAATATGCAGTTATAGACTCTGATTAGCACCCTAAGGGAATGTGCTGGGTACTGGAGAGCCAATAAGGGCCCATCCTGGGCTCCTTCCCACAGTCACACACAGCTCACACAGGCTACACAAGACCTCATGGCCTCTGGCAGAGAGAAGCTTCATGGATGTTCTGTGTGAAGCAGTGGACAATGGAAATCTTTGTGGGAATACTGTCAGACCTTAACTAAGAGGCTGAGTGAATGTCTCCCCCACCCCACTATCCTACTGAGGGAATGTCACACGCTCCTGCCTTGATTTCCAGCATAATCTGAAGCCTGGTATGTTCTCTTAACCAAGAGACTGAAGATTTAAAAAGCATGCTATGCTCTGGCAACCTAGAAGGTTGAAGCTCCCTGCCTCAGTTCCATGTGCAGCTTTTCCCAGTCATGAGCCTCATACATGTCTGGGTGCAAGGCTGCATGAAGATGCTCCAGTGGGAAGCGCCTTGAGCCTGGATGGTCTACAAGGGGTCGACAGCTCTTCAAGGACATTTGGGCCACTACAGCTCAGGGAAGTGGTTAAGGGGTCGGTCTGTTTCCAAGACTATAACAGTGCCCAAGACTGGATGTCTCAGAACACGTGGTCCACTTGCTCACGGAGTTCTGGAGGCCAGAAACCTGAAAGCAAGGTTTCCAGCAGAATCAGCATCCTCTAGAGATCAGGAAGGTGTCATCCCATGCCGCTGTCCAGTGTCTGCTGGCCTCCCACTGCTTGGTGCTATTTGTCTCCCTTGTCATATGCTGTTCTTCCATCATGCCTGTGTCTCTATTCGCATGCTGTAACAGCATTCTGAGTCTTCTAGGTCTGATGTTTCTCCTTTTCTTTTTCTTTTTTTTGAGCTGTTCCTGGGACTTAAATTCAGAAGCCTGGGCACTGCCCCTGAGCTTTTTTGCTCAAGTCTAGTGCTCTACCACTTGAGCCACAGCTCTACTTCTAGCTTTTCTAGTGGTTAATTGGAAATAAGAGTCTTGCAGACTTTCCTGCCCAGGCTAGCTTCGAACCACAATCCTCAGATCTCAGTCTCCTGAGTATCTAGGATTACAGGTGTGAGCCACCAGTAATTGACTTGGTTTCTCTTCTCTTAAAGGCATCCTAATCTAGGATGACCTCATCTCAATTTAAGTAGATTCTGCAGAGATCTGGTCCCAAATAAAGATACGCTTGGAGGTTTCAAGAAGACATAAAGTGGAGGGACACTATTCAATACAGTAAATAGGAAACTTTCTTCCCAGCCATTAATTCTCATCACTTTCTCTAATTGCATGTTTCCACTTTGAAATTCTTATTTTTTCACTTCATTCAACAAAATCTTCTAGAGGACATGATTAGCTAAGTAAATACTGCTAT